ACTGTAACTTTTTGGTTGGGGGTCCGTCACCTGCTTGTTTCTATGGAGATGTCATTACTCTGCCTGGAATGTCCCGCAGTGTGACTTTAAACAGCTCTACTTTACATTTATTCAATTCCAGATGGTTTTATAGCTCATAAATACCTTGAAAAGCAGACATTGTGACTGTGAGCGGTGTCGCCTCTCCACAGATCTGACTTGTAACTTGGTCTGGTTTGGTCTCGGTGAGGATAGAAAGGTTTAATGCCATACTGTGAAACATTCCAGACAACATCCCTATGGAGAAAAGCATTGGACGGAGCCTTCACCAGAAAAGTTCCACAGTGCACCTTTAAACATAACCCGTATTTGCTCCACACGCTTTGGTTTGTGTTGCTGTGGTGTCTATAGTACATTTGTACAGGTGAGTAAACATTTCACTGTAAAGAGACACTATACACACTTTTGTCAAGGCTAAATATCTGAAGCTTGGAGTTTGTGTTGTGATTGTTTGAAGCCAGTTGTTTACTTCACACAGAACTGACGAAGATACTGTATGTGAACACTTACAGGCTGAACGATATCTGCACACGCTTCAACGTACAAACTGTGCAAAGTCTGGATCATTTTAGCAAACAACAAGCAAACCAACATCTGCAACTATGTTTCCACCATAGACTGTATAAAGAAGTGGACTAAAGGAGCGTGACGTCACCCACAAAGTTCAGTTTTAGTCCTGTTTTAGTCCTGTTTTTAGTCTTGTATTAATCCTGTTTTAGACCTATTTTAGACCAGTTTTAGTCCTGTTTTAGACCTATTTTAGACCTGTTTTAGTCCTGCTTTAGTCCTGATTTTAGTCCCATTTTAGTCCTGCTTCAGTCCTGTTTTAGTCCTGCATTAGTCCTGTTTTAGTCCCGTTTTAGTCCTGCTTTAGTCCTGGTTTAGTCCCTGTAATCTTGTTTTAGTCCTGTTTTAGTCCTGCTTTAGTCCTGTTTTAGTCCTGCTTTAGTCCTTTTTTAGTTCTGTTATAGTCCTGGTTTAGTCTTGCTGTAATCTTGTTTTAGACCTGTTTTAGTCCTGCTTTAGTCCTGTTTCAGTCCTGTTTTAGTCCTGCTTTGGTCCTGGTTTAGTTTTGGTTTAGTCCTGTTTTAGTCCTGCTTTTGTCTTCTTTTAGTCCTGCTTTAGTCCTGTTTTTAGTCCTACTTTAATCCTGCTTTTGTTCTGTTTTAGTCCTGTTTAATCCTGTTTTAGTCCTGTTGTCTTTTAGTCCTGTTTTAGTCCCGTTTTAGTCCTGCTTTAGTCCTGGTTTAGTCCTGCTTTAGTCCTGTTTCAGTCCTGTTTTAGTCCTGCTTTGGTCCTGGTTTAGTTTTGGTTTAGTCCTGTTTTAGTCCTGCTTTTGTCTTGTTTTAGTCCTGCTTTAGTCCTGTTTTTAGTCCTACTTTAATCCTGCTTTTGTTCTGTTTTAGTCCTGTTTAATCCTGTTTTAGTCCTGCTTTAGTCCTGTTTTAGTACTGCTTTAGTCCTGTTTTAGTCCTACCTTAGTCCTGGTTTAATCCTGCTTTATAAAAATAGCAAAATAAAAACAGATAGACCGGGTTAATACAAACAATTTAAGACCAAAATGACAAGCCTCACAGCAGCAGTTACTGAAAGAGAGCAACAATAGTTTCATGTAAAATCAATTGGAGCCAGAGTGGATAGAGCCTGAAGCACGCCCATGCTCACGCGGCGGAGAGGTGGTTAGCTGTGTCCATTTATGTATACAGTCTATGGTTTCTATCAAAATAAGTTCAGAAGTCACATAAGGTAAATGATTTGCAGAATAGTTGAGAAACACTGGCTTAGCAAATTGGATGTTCCCAGAAAACACAGGAGAGAACATGCAAACTGCGCACGCCTGAGAAGCGCGAGTGCTGGAAAATCAACCGCCACATCCATCAGAAAAGAAGCACAGTTAAACATTTGGGTGTAAAGCAGCTGCCTGCTCAAACACATCATTTACTTTTCCCCACCCCCTCCCTCCTCTTATTGGTCAAACTCTCCATGCTCTGAGTGAGTGACAGGAGGAATGAACCAATCACAGAACTCTCTGTACAGAAACACGTTTAAGGAGGCCTTCACTTGTCATGGTCTGGTCCTAGTCTGAACTGAATGTGGTCCTGTTTTAATCCTATTTTAGTCCTGGTTTAGTCATGATTGAGTCATGATTTAGTTCTGCTTTAGTCTTGCTTTAGACCTGGATTAGTCCTGGTTTAGTTTTGGTTAGTCCTGTTATAGTCTTGTTTTAGTCCTGTTTTAGCCCTGTTTTAGTCCTGGTTTAGTCCTGTTTTAGTCCTGCTTTAGTCCTGCTTTAGTCCTGCCTGCTTTAGTCCTGCTTTAGTCCTGCCTTTAGTCCTGGTTTAGTCCTGCTTTAGTCCTGTTTAGTCCTGTTTAGTCCTGCTTTAGTCTGTTTAGTCCTGTTTTAGTCCTGCTTTAGTCCTGTTTAGTCCTGTTTAGTCCTGTTTAGTCCTAGTCCTGTTTTAGTCCTGCTTTAGTCCTGCCTGGTTTAGTCCTGCCCTGGTTTAGTCCTGTTTTAGTCCCTGAGTTTTTAGTCCTGGTTTAGTCCTGATTTAGTCCTGCTTTAGTCCTGCTTTAGTCCTGTTTCAGTCCTGGTTTAATTCTGTTTTAGTCCTGTTTTAGTAGTTCTACTTTAGTCCTATTTTAATCCTGCTTTAGCCCAGTTTCAGTCCTGTTTTAGTCCTGCTTTAGTCCTGCTTTAGCCCAGTTTCAGTCCTGTTTTAGTCCTGCTTTAGTCCTTCTTTTTGTTTAGTCTTTCTTTAGTCTTTCTTTAGTCTTTCTTTAGTCCTGCTTTAGTCTGACTTCAGTCCCAGTTCTGAAGCGTGAGTGCTCTCTATAACCTGTTTATGTACAATCAGCACATCAAGTACAGAAAGTGTGAAAAGGTCAAAATTGTGACATTTGCTTTATGAAAATAGCAACATGTACAGTGGATGTATGCGCCCCTAGCAGCACTCCGACTCTTCCTGTGCCACACTTAAAGGAGACGGATTATGCAAGTTCACTTTTTCTGCACTTTTCACTGTGTTATCATGTTTTTCCCCATCCTTAACACATTCAGAGTTGTATTTTTATCGATTCATACTTGTTTTAGGTTTCTTGATTGTTTACCCATTATTATTATTTAAAATTTCTTCTTCATGGTTTAATTTTTAGTTTCTTAGACTTTAACAGCGTTGTGTAGCTATTTTGGTAAAGATATGTTTCAAAATCTACTTTCTATTGGTGCGTGACTTGGTTGTGATGACATTTATGGAACTGTACCATATAGAAGAACGTGGAACTTAGCGCCACATTTAAAAAAAAAAAAAAAAGGAAGTCCTGTTTCTGTTAAGTTATTTTATATCAATTTTGTGACTTTATATGACACTATTTACTGTACGGATTTATGTTTTAATGTTTAATTTCTTCATCACAAACAGACCTGGAGTTGTGTTTTGTTTCATTCACATGTTTAACACACAAACCCTGCACATTTACGCTGAGTTCTTCTTGGAAACGGAAAACAGTCTGTTCCAACCTTGTGATGTCATGTAGTAATACAGGAAGTGCTCCACTGTGTTTTTAAGGGCGATAGTAGCTCAGTTAGTAGAGCGTTTGCACACTGATCTCTCGACCTGTGGGCAGTCAAATCCACTTGCCCACAGGTTGGTTGGTGCGATTCCAGCTCACACAGATGAATGCTGTCACTTAGCCCACCTTGCCCCAGTGTCTGCATACAGTTGTTTGTGTATGGGTGAGTGTTTCCGTGTTGTAAAGAGCTTTGAGAGCCTTGAAAGTGGAAAAGTGCTGTATAAAAATATGACCATGACCATTTATCATTAACACCATACACCAAACATGTCAAATTCAGGCCCGGGGGCCAAATTTGGCCCATGACATAATTATATTTGGCCCGCGAGATCATTCCAGATATGTCTTAGAGCTGCCGGCTGCCTACAGATCAACTATAGAGACATTATTTATTTAAAATGTTGTTCTGGATTCAATGTTTAAGCAAAACTATTATTAAACATTTATTTGAACAAGAAAAGGTTTAACATTACATATCTCGAAAGAAGAGAAAATATGCAGATATTGTTGAAATTTTCAATAAATATTCATTTTGGCCCACGACTTAGTCCCAGTTTTTAATTTTGGCCTCTGTGAATTTGAGTTTGACACTCCTGCCGCACACCTTCACTAGAATCATTTGAATAACTTCAGTGCTGGATTTGCCAATCTTTACTGAACTAAAGGCAAAAGGAAGCTGAAAATTACCACTTCATGACATCACGAGGTGGAAAAGAGCATTTTGAGCTTTGGAGATATAGACAGATTCATAATAAAGGGTTACTCAAACATGCAGGGTTCTCATGGTCATGGAAATTTAATGAAAGTTCTGGAAAAGTCATGAAATTTAAGCATATCTTTCCCGCAACTCCAGCGTTCTGTTAAGTTCTCATGAGGCTATTCTGATTATTTGTGAACCGTCTGCGTCTTTTGTTTAAAAAAGACTACAATAAATGCACTGACAGGATTTTGAATGTTCAAAAACTATAATCCCAAACCATATAAAAAGGGTTTCATATTTAGCCCTAAAAGTTTGATCAATTCTACACATGCAGGTGCCGTAAAGTCATGGAAAATTCACTTTAGCTCATGGAAAAGTCATGGAAAAGTTCTTGAAATTTTGTCAGTGAAAAAGTGGGAACCCTGAACATGATTGAATGAAACTAAACACAACTCCAGGTTTGTTTTTGAGAAGGTAACAACATTCTAACCTGATTTAAATGTGTCATATGTCAATTTTGTGTAATGTAGGATCTTTAAATTACCAAAATATAAAATAATAAATGCCAGATGAACGCATAATACCTCCTCTTTAAGTTGTAGTGCCCCTCTAGATCATTCACAGTGCTGGTTTATATTTCACTTATGTTTTGATTTCCGCTCAGACAGTTCTCTAGTCCTTGAGTTGTTCTTCAGCCCACCGTGGTCGCCATCATCGTCTCTGTTGACTCCTTTAAAGTGGGCCTCGGCGCTCTGGATTTCCCGTCCTCCCCCAGCACGTAAATCGAGTTATCGTCAATGGAGTTTCTCATGTGGCAGAGTTCGCGACCGTGCCACGAAAAGCGCAGTTTGTTCACCTCGGATTTGAAGCTCCGGCTGAAGAAGTAGTAGATGAGAGGGTTGTAGACGGTGGAGGATTTGGCGAACATGCAGGGCAGAAGGCTGATCTCGGGGGGGATGGAGCGACTGCCTCTGAAGATGGACCACAGGCTGACCAGTCCGTACGGAGTCCAGCAGCAGATGAAGCCGGCGCTGATGAGGACCGCGATCTGCAAACAGAACAGACATGGAGGTGAGTTAAAGGGACTAAGTGGAAGCGGAAGAAGCGTCACCTGTAGCGTTTAGGTCCAGTCAAATAAAATTTATGGGGGTGGAAGTTACAGGAGTAAATTTAAAACACCAGGATCATGTAGAGCGGACATATGAACATTTTAAGACCAAAATGACGAGGCTTACAGCAGCAGTTACAGAGACAGAGGCAACAGTTTTTCAGTGTTCTTGTCTTGGCACTTCACGGGGGCGGGCGCTTTTCCACAGTTCGCAGCTTTGTCCCACCCAGCATGGTGGGCACGTAGGTTGTATCCAGCGCCACGTGGCTGCTTACCTACGCTGAGTCGACTCAGCTCCCCTACCCCACCCCACCCTACCCTGCCCGGTTGCAAGTCGTTATGTCTGTACTGTCCTATTAGTTCTGTTTTGAGTCTTGCTTTGGTCCTGTTTTTTTCCTGTTTTAATCCTGCTTTAGTCCTAATTTAGTCCTACTTTTGTCCTGTGTTAATCCTGTTTTAATCCTGTTTTAGTCCTGTTTTAATCCTGCTTTAGTCCTACTTTTGTCCTGTTTCAATGCTGTTTTAGTCCTGCTTTAGTCCTGTTTTAGTCCCGTTTTAGTCCCGTTTTAGTCCTGTTTAAGTCTTATTTAGTCCTGTTTTAGTCCTGCTTTAGTCCTCCTTTAGTCCTGTTTTAGTCCTGCTTTAGTCCTGTTTATGTCTTATTTAGTCCTGTTTTAGTCCTGCTTTAGTCCTCCTTTAGTCCTGTTTTAGTCCTTCTTTAGTCCTCCTTTAGTCCTGTTTTAGTCCTTCTTTAGTCCTCCTTTAGTCCTGTTTTAGTCCTTCTTTAGTCCTCCTTTAGTCCTGTTTTAGTCCTTCTTTAGTCCTGTTGATAGTCCCATTTTAGTCGTGTTTAAATCTTGTTTAGTCCTGCTTTAATCCTGCTTTAGTCCTGCTTTAGTCCCATTTTAGTCCCGTTTTAGTCCTGTTTTAGTCCAAGTTTAGTCCTGCTTTAGTCCTGTTTTAATCCTGTTTAAATCTAGTTTAGTCCTGTTTTAATCCTGCTTTAATCCTGCTTTAGCCTCATTGTAGTCCCAGTTTTTATTTTAGAGGTGTTTTTTATTAAATTTTTTGTAAGGCAACCTCACTTTTCATTGCTTAGTCCTCACATAAACTCGTCAAAACAACGTGATTTACTGCTTTTTATAAAGAAAAATTATTATGCAGAATTGAGTTCACAATATTTTTTGTTTCTCATGTGGCCCCATGGACAAAAGAATTGCCCACCCCCGTTTTATGGATACAAAACCATACACCATCATAGTTAAAAGTCAGATTTGCTCACTCCTGTCCTGTGTAGAAGACAAATATGTGGTCAAGGTGACAAAACATGTTAACGCAGATTTGCCCAAAGTGTAATATCCTGTATCCTGTATCTAATCAACACAGTTTTTAATTAAAAGAAGGCAACGATCATATTCATTAACACGTCACCTATGATAAATGCAAAGATGTAAGATTATTTACCTGACCAGACACAACCACACGCTTTGAACTTTATAAAGACGAGTGGATCTGGAGCCGCGTCCTGTCTCCCTGATTTCAGAGGGAGTGATTGACAGGCGGATTAACCAACCAGGTGATACCGAGTGACTTACTATGAGCAGTCTGCGGTGTAGCTTGATAATATTGGGCATACGGTTGTAGCTGAGTCCTGCTTTCTTGTAGGTGACGTAGAGTTTGATGGAGATCCCGAAGTAGCAGCCCACGATGATGACGGTGGGGAGGAGAAGGTTGAACACGAACATGGAGATGACGAAAGAGAAGCCCTCCTCCCTCATGTCCCCCCAGGCCAGAGAGCAAGACAGGCCAAAGGGCTCGGGACCATAGCGCCCCCAGCCCAGGAGAGGGAGCACTGCCCACAAGAGCGCGTACAGCCAGATCCCCACGCACATCAGCTTCACGTTCCTCCAGCTGATCTTCTCCTCTGTGCACACAAAAGAAATAGGCAAGGCAAGGCAAGGCAAGTTTATTTGTATAGCACAATTCGTACACAAAGTAATTCAAAGTGCTTTACAGAATAAGAAATACATTAAAATCATAATAAAAACAAATCAAAACATAAATAATCATGAAGATTAAAATTAAAAAAAGAGAGACATAAATTGGAGAGAAGAGTGCGGAATGAAAACCTTTCAGTTATATGCACAGTTAAACAGAAATGTTTTGAGTCTGGATTTAAACAGCGTCACAGAAGAGTCTGTCTCACATGTTCAGACTGTTCCAGGTTTTAGCTGCATGAACCTGAAACGCTGACTCCCCTTGTTTAGTTCTGACTCTGGGCACCAGCAGGAGGCCGGTCCCTGAGCTCCTCAGAGTGCGAGATGGTTCATATGACACTAACATGTCACAGATGTACTTTGGTGCTCGGCCATGGAGAGACTTGTACACAAGCAGAGCTGCTTTAAAGTCTATTCTCTGAGGCACAGGAGCCAGTGCAGAGACCTGAGCACAGGACTTATGTGCTCGTACTTCCTAGTTCGAGTAAGGACCCGAGCTGCAGCATTCTGGATGTTCTGCAGCTGTCTCACAGCTCGTTTGGAGAGACCAGTGAGCAGAACATTACAGTATCTAACCTACTGGAGACAAATGCATGGATAAGTTTCTCCAAGTCTGATTTAGACAGTAAACCTTTGATTTTTGCTATGTTTTTTAGATGGTAAAAGGCTGCAGATGTTATTGATTTTATGTGACTGTTAAAGTTCAAGTCTGAGTCCATTATTACCCCTAGATTTCTTGCCTGATTTGAAGGTATTAGAGAGAGATACTGGAGGTGACTGCTGACACTGTCCCTTTGTTTCTGTGGACCAAACACTATGACTTCAGTCTTGTCAGAGTTTAGCTGGAGAAAGTTGTTTTGCATCCACACACTGATCTGTTGGATGCAGTGACCAAGTGACTCCACTGGTCCATAGTCTCCTGCTGCCAGAGAGACGTAGATCTGAGTGTCGTCTGCATAATTGTGGTACGACACGTTATTGCTGCTTATTAACTGGCCTAATGGCAGCATGTAGAGATTGAACAACAGGGGGCCCAGGATTGACCCCTGAGGCACCCCACAAGTCAGGGCCATGTCATCTGAGACACAGTTTCCAAATACAGTAAGTGTTCGATATAGAGTTTGCTGTGTTGATAAAGAGCAGATTTAAAAGGACGATATTACACCAACGTTTGATCTGGATTCTAATGTAGGGTGACCAAACGTGTCCATTTTTTGCGTCCTGTCCTGGAAATATCTGGGTTTTCATTACCGTTCATTGGGGCCATTACGTCTCTCATAGTTCTCTGTGACTCAGAAGGAGCGAGCAAACACAAACAGTCGGTCAGTCTGTAACATGCTGAAGCACAAATGTGCATTTAACAATGACTTGTACAAGAAATTCTTTGTTTATTTTAAAAGTTAGAAGTCCTATTTCTGTAAATAAATTAAGTAAAATATATAAAATATCGTCATGATTAATTGAATTCCTGTGATGAAATAATTAAAATCAGTAAGTTTACTGATGTATCATAAATTGTCAGTTTTTATACAATTATGACCATTGACATGCACTAGTCTAGCACCAGTGACCTCCGCAAATACAAGGACTGGATGGAATATTTCAAAAAGTGTCTCCACACGTCTCCAACACTCTGGCTCACTAGGAAATGACATCCTTTGTCCAAAATTCCAGACTGTCCCTTTAATCTGAGCTCTTATTTTCACACAATCTGACCAGAAAAAAAAACTGATTTGGTTCTAATTATAACATATGAACTAATTTGTGCTTTTAAACTCACATTTTTGTTAAAAATCAAACTCCTAAACAGGACCATGAACGCTCGTATCGATCACAGACCCTTGAAAATGTGCTGTTTAAATCCATTTTGTTGAGTTGTTGAGTTTTCAGACTTAACTTTTTCGTCTGTGTTTATGAACCTGTGCTCATGTGTCGCCATAGAAACAGCTGAACATTCCGCCAATAGAAATGCATTATAGAATTACCATCAGTAAGTGCCCGGTAAAAGCTTTTCGAGACGCAGCCTTATCATGCGTCGTTACTGTCCAGCCCATTACACCCTCTTGTCTTGGGGTCTAAGGGTCCTTCAGCCTCATTGTGTCCATGATGAAGGCGAGCGTTTGTGTTTTTTTTAACATTTGTAATCTGCGTACTTGTCTATTTAACCCTTGGGTAGGATCAGTAATATGCTGCTGTAATGAAAACTGTAAACAACGATTACATTTGAGAGACCTAGAGGTGTTTTTCTATCTTCACATAAACATGGTCAGAACTCAAATCAGCCGCTACAGCGCAGACACTGTATTCCCCTACAGATTACAGATTACATACCCCAAAATGTAGTTTGTAGTAGTTTAGTCCTAGTTTAGTCTTGGTTTAGTCCTGGTTTAGACTTGGTTTTAGTCCTAGTTTAGTCCTGGTTTAGTCCTCGTTTTAGTCCGTTTAAATCCTGGTTTTAGTCCTGGTTTAGTCCTGGATTTAGTCCTGGTTTAGTCCTGGTTTAGACCTGGTTTAGTCCTGATTTTAGTCCTGATTTAGTCCTGGTTTAGTCCTGGTTTTAGTCCTGGTTTAGACCTGGTTTTAGTCCTGGTTTAGTCCTAGTTTAGTCCTAGGTTAGACCTGGTTTTAGTTCTGGTTTAGTCCTGGTTTAGACCTGGTTTTAGTCCTGATTTAGTCCTGGTTTAGTCCTGGTTTTAGTCCTAGTTTAGTCCTGGTCTAGTCCTGATTTAGTCCTAGTTTAGTCCTGGTTTTAGTCCTGGTTTAGTCCTGGTTTAGTCCTGGTTTAATCCTGGTTCAGCCCTGGTTTAGTCCTGGTTTTAGTCCTGGTTTAGACCTGGTTTAGACCTGGTTTTATTTGGTTTTAGTCCTGGTTTAATCTTGGTTCAGCCCTGGTTTAGTCCTGGTTCAGTCCACACACGGCACAAAAGTTCAGCCTCTTCACACTTATTCTGAGAGTGGTGAGAGTAACTTAAAGTGCTGTAATAGTCACGTAACGCCTTCCATTTTAAACACAGTAATATTGTTTTACAGTTTTGAAGTAACTTGCCCAAATGTGGTGGTAATACAGGATGAGCTCCACTGTGTTTTTAAATTCCACACACCTTCACTTGAATCATTTGAATCATCCAATCTCCTCTGAACTAAAGGTAAAAGGACCTTCAAAAAATGAATACTATGAGGTGCTGCAATTTCTGTTTCTAATTTCCAGGTGACGATATTTTCTGATTTCTGTTATAAAGTAGTTTTCTCATCACAAACATACTGTACGTGGAGTTGTGTTTTGCTTCACACAAAGCCCGAGTTCTTCTCTCAGACAGAAAACACAACTCCAGGTCTGTTTTTGAAGAGCTAACAGCATTTCTGAATTTACTTAAAGCTCACGAGAGTCAATTTTGCGTAATATAGGACCTTTAATAAGAACTTAATCTAACCCCAGCAGATTCTAATAAAATATACAGTAAGAAATCAATAGAGATACAAGTCAGCCCCAAATGATCCATGTGCTGTTCAGGGGACGTCATTAACCTTTCACTGTACCACTATGTAACAACTTTTCACGAGTTCAGGACTTCCCTTATTGATATTGATTTGTTCGTACTTTTCAGTGGGAACTTTTTAATTAATTTATGACTTTCTTTTTCCAACTTATCATTAACATTTCAAGAATTTCAGACTACAGTTGCAGTTTGCCTTGCCTCGTTTGTTCGATTTATTTTTTATCAGCAAATGGCAGATGTCTTAAATCAATCCTCTAATGATGCGTTCAGTGAAAGTAGGAAAATTAAATACTTAGCAATACAATTTCTGACAAAAAATAATAATGAATATGATTACGACAATGAAAACCATGTAAGTTAGTTAGTAAGTTAGTTTTTTTCTTTTCTTTTTTTCCCTTGAATTTAGAATGTCAATGTTTTAGTGGCCCATGTTTTCAATTTCCCAGGGTCTTTGAAGGCATCATATAGAGCAGGTAATTTTTTGGTAAAACGCAAGAAGATTTTAACTCTAGCGCCTCCTGCAGGTCAGATGCTTTACTAGATAAACTTTTACGTACTCCCAAACGCTGCACACTTTGGCTGTGTTTTTCTCTCAGACTGAAAACACTCTGGTCCACCTTGTGATGTCATGTGGTGATAAAAAAAAGCACTCCACTCCATTTTCAACTCCATACACTTTCACTTTTCAGAATCATTTGGATAATTTCAGTGTGGGAATTGACAATCTCTAGAGAACTAAATGTAAATGGTAATTGTTAACTTGAAAATTACCACTTCATGACATCACAAGGTGGAACAGAGCATTTTGAGGTTTGGAGCTGCACACAGACTAATAATAAAGAATTACTCAAACATGTGAATGATAAAAAACACAACTTCAGGTCTGTTTTTGATGAAGAAACTTTATAAGATAGTTAAAAGTTCATAAGTGCAGAGGTGAAAAAAGTACAGAGAAATTGTAATTAAGTAAATGTATCGTTACTTTGCTTAATTCCTACTCTAGTAAAAGTAACCATTTAAAAATCTACTGGAGTAAAAGTAAAAAAGTACTTCAGTTAAAATGTCATTTGAGCAAAACTTACTTAGTTAATCCAGCAAAAGTTGTTTTAATCAACTTTTAGGAGATATAAACTTTGTTCAGTACAAACTTTATACATTTTAAAGACAACTGAGCTTACACTTACTATTTTAACACTTGCATTATAATGTTATTCTCTATTTTGTGAATAGAGAATAGTTGCTCAAGGTTTGGACAAGGGTTTCCTTCACTTTCCACTTGAGAATTACTTAATGCACCTTCTTTTTGAATACACGCATCAAAAATCTCAGACTTCCGGTCATTGCGCAATCCATACTGGGAAAGATTTTCTGAAAAAGTGAGCATCAAACCGTCATGTTTGATTTTAGGGTGGGACGCATCTATTGGCAAA